ACCGAGGATCACCTAGAGTGCCCACACTCCAGAGGATAAATAACTTGCCTAAAACGCAAACCAGCTCACTGATACAGCCCAGACTGCAACCTCAATCTCTTGTCTCCCAGGCCTAAAGGCTTTTCCTTTTGCTGCTCCATCTCCAGGCACTATATTATCTCCCTTTGGGCAGCAGCAAAGAAAAACCGCAACACCTTCCCCCTCAACCAAAATACTGGCATCTAGGCAATGTCAATGTAATAATACACTATCTTATTATCATGCTGTCCTGGGCCGGGTGCCGTGGCTCACACCTGTAATCCCAGCACCTCCCAGCACCTGGGAGGCCGAGGTGGGTGGATTGCCTGAGCTCATAGGTTTAAGACCAGCCTGAGCAAGAGTGAGACCTCAACTCTAAAAATAGCCAGGTGTTATGTTAGGCACCTGTAGTCCCAGCTACTTGAGAGGTTGAGGCAAAAGAATTGCTTAAGCCCAAGAGTTCTGAGGTCACTGTGAGCTATGATGCCACAGCATTCTACCTAGGGCGACAAAGTGACTCTCTGCCTCAAAAAAAGAAAAAAAATCATGCTGCCCTGGAGGGATTTATAACATCATAGTTTAGTGTGTGTTGTTTTCATCTCTCCCCCTAAAGCTGTCTGACAGAAAGACCTCTCTGAATTCACCATGCACATCAGCTGCAGGACCCTGCACAGGGCTATGTACAGACATCAGTAGGAGGAAGGGAGTAGGCAAAGGTACAGAGTGCGGACAGTCAAAGCTGTACAGACCTGGCTTCACGCCACTTCCACACGTTCCACCTGCACAACCTTCAGCGTAGAGTGGAAACAGTCCCCAGGTCCCAGGATCATGGGATGATTGATATTCAAGGGTGTCCAGCCTGCAGCCCCAGGAGCCGCATGCAGATCATGTGAGGACCGTTTTGCTTTTCTGTGGTGTCAGGTATTGCGAAAAATATACATGGACCTTTCCTTGTGCTTATCAACTGTCCTTAGTGTTTGTGTACTTAACCATGTGGCCCAAAACAACGCATTCTTCCAATGTGAGGCAGAAAAGGAAAAGGGTTGTATCCTCCTGAAATCATTTTACACAAGCACTACACGTGGTAACTACTCAGTCAGTATAAGCTACAGTTGGTAAAAAACAGCAGGAACAGGACTCTGAGAGGCTGAGGCAGGTGGATCGCTTGAGGTCACAAGTTCAGGACCAGCCTGAGCAAGAGTGAGAACCTTCTCTAAAAAAAAAAAAAAAAAGCCGGGCATTCTGGAAGACACCTGTAGTCTACCTACTTGGGAGGCTGAGGCAAGAGGATCATTTGAACCCAACAGTTTGAGGTTGCTGTGAGCTATGACTCCAGGGCACTCTACTGGAGGCAAGAAAGTGAGACTCTATCTCAAAAAACAAAAAAACCCCAACAGCAATAGAAGCAGAGACAGGTTCAATGAACACCATCTACCAAGTGGCTTAAACAGACAAAGGTCAGAGACCTGGGCTCCAATGTCCCCTACCGACTGGTGCCTATCAAATAACTAAGATAGCATGTTAGGGGTCTCCTTTTCCCTATAAAGGAAGATGTTCAGTGACCAAACAGTTCCCAGTGCCTCTCTTCACAGAGACCCCTAGTTTTCTCCTGGGCAAAAAACAAGACCCTCAGACTAAAATCCCTAGTGTGCCCTACTCAGTAGAGCTCCATGCAGCTCTGGGTCATCCCCAGGGCCAGCAGAGCAGTGCTGGGCACTCCACACTTCCTGAGGACCTGTCTGCCAACGGCATCTTTAATTTGTTCTTTCCCTCTTTCAACAATCACACGTATATCAAGTGCTGGACATAATAGATCAAAAACTAAACCAGACGCTCTTCCTATACTCTAGGACTTTCTGGCCCTACAAGTCCTCTGGCTTCTCTTCCGTATCAGAGACCACTTTTGCTGGCTGTCCTTTCTCCCAAGCAACCCTAAGATGCCCGTCTCACTGGCACCAATAATGCTGGGGGCACCAGAGTCAGGCTGCCAGGGTTAGAATCCTGGCTCTGCCACTTTCTTATTTCGTAACCATGGGCAAATTTCTTCCCCTCACTCTCACCTCTCGTCTTTAGAATGAGGATAGTAATACCCACCAATAAGACTTGTTGTCAGGCTCAGCACCTATGGCTCAAATGGCTAAGGCGCCAGCCACGTACACCTAAGGTGGTGGGTTCGAATCCAGCCCAGGCTCACCAAAATAATGAAGGCTACAACCAAAAAAAATAGCCGGGCATTGTGGCAGGTGCCTGTGGTCCCAGCTACTTGGGAGGCTGAGGCAGGAGACTCACTTGAGCCCAGGAGTTGGAGGTTGCTGATACCATTCTCAAATCTGGAGTGGACATTTGGCCATTTACACAACAAAAAACTAACCCCACTCAATGAGGAATTAACCCAACCTAACAAAGAAGCAACACAAGAACTAGTAACAACTTAATAGTTAAAAGAAGTAAAATGTTCTGGCTGGGCAGGACGGCTCACACCTGTAATGGCTCACACCAACACTCTTGTGAGGCTGAGGTGGGAGGATTGCTTGAGCTTAGGAGTTCAAGATCAGCCTGAGCAAGAGTAAGACCTCATCTGCACTGAAAATAGAAAAATTATCCCAGCACTATGGCAGGCGCCTGTAGTCCCAGCTACTCAGGAGGCTTAGTCAAGAGGATTGCTTGTGCCTAGGAGATTGAGGTTGCTGTGAGGTGTGATACCACAGCACTCTGCCCAGGTTCAGACCCTGTCTCAAAAAATAAAAAGCTAAATCTTCTGAACTATTGCCAGTCACAAGATGACTCTCCCTTTTCTGGAACACACCAAGCCAACTGAACTCTACTGCTTCCTGGGAAAATGTAAAGAATCCTTGGCAATGAGCCACAAAGTCTATTTGGTAATTCAGATTTGGAGGAAGTTCTACCACAGAGCATGCTGAGAGCCCAGCTGGCTGGGAAGAGCAGAAGCCTGCCTGGGCAGGGTGACTTCAGACAGCCCAGCAAGGCAGCCTGAGCACAGCATCCCCGGTCAGCACAGGTTCTAGGCCCAAGTGACAATCACATCAGAGGACAAGCCAGAGTCACACCTGGCAACATGCAAGATCCACGACAGTGACACCATGGTCCTGGGTGATGTGTCACTGACAGCACAACTGTCAGTCTGTGGCCCAGGTTATGAAGAAAGGTCCAACTCTCAGGAGAGGCAAATGTCAACATATAGGCAAGATTCCCATAGCAAGAAAATTCAGGTTAAGAACAGGCCTAATTGGAAAGCATGGTGTAAAGTAGGTAAATCAGGACAAAATCCATTTTAAGCTAACATGGCCAGCAAGTGGGAGAAGAAACTCAAAGGCAGAACAAGGAGTAGGGAAAGGTGAGACTCAGAGACCATCAGCCACTGAGGGCTCGTCCCTGATGCCAAAGCCAAGTCTAATGGCAGCAAAGACTTAATTCCAAGCTCTTCCGGCAGTGAGGAAGAGACGCCAAAGACACTACTTCCTCTCACGACGGGTGTGCTGAACCAGCAGTGGGACCTATGCAGACCAAAGGCAAAGAAAATGAGACAGCAGGGTCTTGGCCAGCCAGGACCAAAACATGGGGACAGGCGAGCACTGCAGGCCAAGTTGAGGGTGTGCCACTGTCCAAATGTGGGATTCATTCTGAGTCCTCAGCACTTCAAATAAAAAGTGAGCAACAGGGTCAGAGGGATGTGGGGTGAAACACGGGTACACTTCTATTCGGAATGAAGCCTTTCCTGGAGAAGGCAAACAGCAGCAGCTGATTTTCTGAGTGTGCTCTCTTCCACCCATCAAATCCAGAAGACAAATGCCAAAGGCCTCCAGAGGACCCCAGATGATGACGACTTAGAGTAGCAGTTCTCAACCTGTGGGTCATGACCCCTTTGTAACAAGGAAAATGCATCGTGGCATCAGGAAGGTTGAGAACCACTGACCTAGAGACTCACCCAACTCTCTTCCAGCTGTCAGATCCAGAAGATGGCCTCTAGAGGACCCCAGATAATGACCTACAGACTCACCCAACTCTTTTACATCACATCTTAAAGCACAAATCCAGACTTTCCTCTTCCCAGGCCTCTGGGCCAGAGCCAAATCCCAGCCACATGCCCTTCCTCATCCCAACACGGTCAGGCCCATGATCTGGCTGTTCAGCAGCTTAGTCAGTCTTCACAGCCTTGTTCCCCCAAACTGCTCCAAGGCAGTAAGAAAGGAAGAGTTAACAGCACTCAGGACCAGAATTTAAATAAAGAAAATAACAAAACTTGAAATCCCCAAGCAAAGGTAGAGCAACTTTTTCCCAGACCCGCCGGGGACTCCCAGGCATAGTAATAAAACTTAACAAATGGTCCCCCATTGTTGTGCCTGACACCCACAAAATGCTGAACAAGGCACCCAATCCTGGCTATTTCCTTGCCTAAGTCAACTGCAATGTCTGAGACTCCGTCTTCTCATCTGTAGTGTGAAGAAACAAAACAGGGTGACCTTCAAGGGTACCTTCAACCCAAAATTCTAGGACTTTCTGACCCTGTAAACCAAAGAAGCCCAAAGTGTGTCCAGCTGAAAGAACCAGGTCACATTCTTGGCTGGGGAGGGGCCCCAGACTAAAAAAGCAGGAGCAGCCAGCAAGCCACAGCCCTAACAAGACAGGTGATAGTAAGGAGCCATGGACAGAGCCGCCATGCAGCCAGGCTGGCCTCTGCCTGATTTTTGCAAGAGTTAAATTCCTGCATATAAGAAAAGACAGGATATCCTCCCACCAGCTCCCAGGGTCAGAAAAGCTGACTTCTCCCCCAGCTACGATCTGAGATGGTTTTCTGTGTGTATGTGTGTGTACACACAGGTGTAACGCTGCAGGGTTCCCCACCTTCCTGACCAGGAGGTCCATGTTGTTCATGAGATGAGCTCTGCAGGTGACCCTGTGTGAATTTCTCCCAGGCAGTGATGGGCAGCCAGCTGCCCTGCCCCACTGCCCCAGCCTCTCACCTGAGGGTTGTCCATGTACCAGAGAAGGCAGTTGGCCTGCGTGTCCAGAATGAAGTACCTCCGCAGAAACTTGCCGCTGTTCTCATTCTCCTCGATGTCCAGAAACCCACAGATGCGGTTCTGCCGGTCCACATAAGGCATTCCTGGGCTCTGCTCACATCACCCTGCGCACAGGAAGATGGTGCGAGTGAGAAAAGGGGGAAGAAGCAGACCCAGCCTGGGGACCCTGTCCCTGGCTCAGCTCGCCTGTCAGAAGCTGGGCTGGGGCTCCCACTCTTCCGTTTGCCCTTCTCAGGGCACTGAATTTTCCACCCACAGTAGACCCTGGAGACACTGACCAACTCTCCCAGCAGTTGTCAAAATCCACCCACCTACGTTCAACTAACCGTCCTCAGGCTTTTCTACATGCCCAGCAAAGGGCTGAGCAAAGCACACGGGCAGCGGACACAAGCCAGGACTCTAAGTCGAGTCTGGGCTTAAATTCTCATTCCAGACATTTATGAATTATAGGACCACAAATTAGCCTTTCTGTACCTCAGTGTCTGCATCTCTCAAGTGGGGTAATGACAGTATACCTCTTAAGATTTTTGCTGAGAATCAAGTGCTAGCCACACAGGAGACACTTCACAAATTGTAGCTATTACAATATTATGGAATACTTTATTGAAGTATTTGGATTGGAGCTTACATCCTTCCTGGGATAGTTTCTTCATGTACAAAATTGCATTATGACCCGCTGCACAAAAGCCTTCTAAAGCAGATCATAACGCAACTTTAAACTATCCCAGAAAGGATGTAAGCTCCAATCCAAATACTTCAAAAAAGCTGTCAGGAATTCAGGGACAAAGGACAGGCCCTCTGATCCTGAAGGTACCAAGATAGCCTATGGCAGGGACACTGCCCTCTGCCTGGGCCCATCAGCACTTACCTCGCTTTGCTGGTACTGTCATGGGCTGAGCTGAGTTCTCCCAAAATTCATAACCTCCAGTCCCTCAGAATGTGATTGTCTTTGGAGTTAGGGGCCTTAACGAGGTCGTCCTCAAACTACGGCCCACAGACCTCATGCGGCCCACCTGGGACATTTATCCGGCTCGCCGGGTGTTTTTGCCACCACTGCCTGTCAACTGGTCCCGGGGCCCACAGTCCAGCCCTCCAATGGTCTGAGGGACAGTGAACTGGCCCCCTGTTTAAAAAATTTGAGGACCCCTGATTTACATTAACATGGAGTCATTAGGATAAGCCCTAATCCATTATTACTGATGTCCTTATGAGAGAAGGAAGTCTGGGCAGACACAGGGGCTCACGCCTATAATCCCAGCACTTTGGGAGTCCAAGGTGGGTGGATGACCTGAGATCAGAGTAAGAGTAACCTGAGTAAGCACCAGACTCTGTCTACTAAAAATAGAAAACTGGCCAGGTACTACGGCAGGTGTCTATAGTTCTAGCTACTCAGGAGGATGAGGCAGGAGGATCACTTGAGCCCAGGAGTTTGAGGTTGCTGTGAGCTATGATGCCAAGAGCAACAGTGAGACACTGTCTCAAAAAGAAACAAAGTAGAAGAAGGGGGTAAATCTGAACACCAACACGTGTGGAGGTAACATTACATGAAGACAGCCATCCACAAGCCAAGGAGACACACAACCCACCCTCACGGCTCTCTGAAGTAATCAATCCTATACTATCACATTGGGGACTCAGTTAAAAATTTAAAAATTAAAATAGATTTAAGGCAGCACCTATGGCTCAGTGAGTAGGGCGTTGGCTCCATATACCGAGGGTGGTGGGTTCAAACCCAGCCTGGCCAAACTGCAACAACAAAAACAAACAAAAAAAAGCCAGCATTGTGGTGGGCACCTGTAGTCCCAGCTACTCAGCAGGCTGAGGCAAGAGAATCGCCTAAGCCAAGAGCTGGAGGTTGCTGTGAGCTGTGATGCCACCGCACTCTACTGAGGGCGACAAAGCAAAACTCTGTCTC